GGACCAGGCATAATGGTGCATACCTGTAATCCCAGCACTCAGGAGGCAGGAGCAGAAGGAAAATTAAAAAAAAAAAAAAAGATCAACAGTGACTTCAAGGGCTGGTGAGATGGCTCAGTGGTCTAAAGCACCTACTTAGAACAAGCTTAGCAAAGCACAGGGACCACGGTTCAATCCCCCAGCACCACATGCCAGCCAGCCCCGCCCCCTGGTGGGCTGAGCTGGCCACACACACACACACACACACACACACACACACACACACATAAATAAATAAATAAAATTAAACAAAAAAAACAAAACAAAATGGTTTTCCTTAAAAACCATGACTCTTTACTTGGGGTTACAGGTAGGTTGCCATAGGTTACCAGAAGTAGAACAAATCCTGACCTTCATTTTGTATCCTTTATTACTGTGAAACTCTGGATAGAAGCATATTAATCATGCAAAACAAAGTTTATTGGCCCTAAATTTACCTAGCCTGTCTCATCTCGCTTCAATAAATAAACACACTGGGCCAGGGAGATAGCTCAGCAGCATAAGGGTCTACGTGGAAAGCTCAAGGCCCTGAGTTCAATCCCCCATACCAAAAAAAAAAAAAAAAAAAAAAGTAAGGACACTAAGAGATTCACAGGGATACTTAGCTGTGCCCTAGGCTGCACTGTCTCAAACCTAGGGTTACACTGGATTCCAGCAAAACCTCACAGGGCTAAGATTACCCCAGGTGGAGTAGCCTGCAAGCTGTGGGAATCTTCCAGAGCCACACAAAGCACAGCAGAAGCAATGACCCCTGGTCCTGGCTCACCTCAGCTAATTCCGAGGAGCTGACCCCCTGCTTTTGTGGGTGACCAGGCTGAACCTCTGCATCAGAGTGGGCCTCGCCGGCTACCATGGCTGGACTTTCCTAGTCTCCTGCACTGCCCGACTCTGCATAATAAACCTGCCTGTGCCTCACACTGACATGCCTGAAGCTCTTTCTTTTTCCATGATGTGAATCAAGAACCTGCTTGGCAGGCTGAGCTGCAAGATCCCCATCTTCTTTTTGGAGGACTCCTCAGATCTGTCTGGTGACAGAACCATGTTGCTTAACTCTGTAAACAGGCCTTAACGGGTCCCTCAAAAGGTCTACAAGTTGTCCCTCTGGGTCCAGTGAAGACAAGTTGCTGTCAAATCCAGGGCGGTGGTCACTTGTGCTGTAGTCAGTGTGTTACAACTGGAGTGAAACCCATTGAAAGGCACCATGCAGTCCCAGGCTGTAATGTCTTTGTGTACGTTGAATTTCTGGTGACTTGTGTTACATCTCTTATGCTGCAGGCTCTGGGGCAAGACTTTGTCTCAAAGATAGAGAGGGGAGGGGCTGGGATATAACTCAGTGGCTGCCTGGCAAGCATAAGGTCCTATGTTTGATTCCCAGTACCAAAAAAAAAAAAAAAATAAAAATAAAAAACCCTACATTGAGATTGTAGAAGGGGGGCCGGGGAGAGTGGTATCAGAGTCCAGAGTATACAAGGGTTAAATTATTGATCATGAAGGAACCTCTGGCTGTGTTGGCTGTGTTGGAAAAGCTCACACAGTGCTCTGGAGTCAAGATGATACTACAGCGAAGCAGCCCTTTTTTTTTTTTTTTTTTTTGTGGCCGGTCAGCCCTACCTGGGGGCAGGGCTGGCATGGCATGTGGTGCCCAGGGATCGAACTGCAGTCCCTGTGTTTCCCTAAGCTTGCCTGAGTGCTCGCTTCAGCAGCACATATACTAAACTTGGAACTAAGCTGGCCTGAGCATGTGCTTTAGATGCCTGAACTTACTGCTTGGAGAAATCTTTGAATTAACTTCCTAAGGTCTCTATTTATTTATTTTTTTAAGGAACGGGGATTGAACTCAGGCCCTTGCACTTGCCAGGGAAGCGCTTATTCCACTGAGCCATCTCCCAGGCCCTATTTTTTTTTTTTGGTGGAACCGGGGATTGAACTCAGGTCCTTGCGCTTGCCAGGGAAGCGCTTATTCCACTGAGCCATCTCCCTGGCCCCTCCTACGGTCTCTAAACTTAACCCTAAGTTTCCACCTTGCCTCAGTAGCACCTTTGTTTGATATTTATTTATTTATTTTATTTATTTATTTTTTTCAGCACCAGGGATTGAACTTGAGCTTGCCAGGTAATCTCTGAGCTATCTCCCTGGCCCTCCCTTTGTTTGAAAACTAAATAAATACGGGCTGTCTGGAGAAGCTCTTGTATGTCTCCTTGTTTAAGCTGCTTGCTGTGCACTTGTTTTGGGAGTGTGGTACTAGGCCAAGTCCCCAATAGGGTGGTTCATGCAGGAGAAGGCTGGGGGCTGTCTTCCTGCATAGCACAAACCAGTACTCCACTGAAGATCCCCCACTTTTTGTTCTTTGAGACAGGGTCTCTCTATATAGCCCAGGCTGGCCTCAAACTTGGAAGGATCCTCTTCCTCAGCCTCCTGACCCCTGCAATTACAGGTGTGCACACCCAGCTGAAGACCTTTTTGACACAGCTCCAGCTCCCTGGAGTTTGCCTCAGACAAGCTATGGCTGCACGTCTTTTTGCCTACGCCTTACCCTTTCCCACCTTTCCCTTCCTGCCCTGTCTTCTCCAAGCCCTTCCCATCTACAGCAGGTTAGCCCCTGGCCTTTGCCAGGTCTCTAGCTGTACCTGGCCCCGTTAGGCTAGCTTACAGAATAGCAGACTGAGAGGCACATTATAATAGTTAGAAATCCTTTCATAGCCTGTGACTATGCTCATGCTCCCTGCCATGCAGCAGCCTTGACTGTCTGGACCCAGATGTTCCCCCTGAACCAACTGGGTCTGGTTTGTGTTTTGAAAATATGCAGTGATTCCAACTTGCTTCAAGGCCATAATGTTTAGGGGAAGCCTGGCCCAGTCAAGGACACTTTTTTGTTGTTGTTTGGTACTGGGGATAGAACTCAGGACTGCATGCTTGCCAGGCAGGTGCTTATGCCACTGAACTATCTCCCTGGACCACAGACACAACTTGCAACTCTAACTATTCCTCTCAGACCCCCTCCCTCCCAGAATATTCCTGTACAAACCTGCCTGACAATATATGAAATAATTCTTCTGGTCCATGTAACCAATCATGTAATAACCTATCAGTTGTGTACTTCCCACTCATAAACCATATTTAAACTGAACTAAAGCCTGACTCAGCTGGTGATTTGAGCTTCTGGGTTCTCAGCATGTTACTGTAATAGAAGTTGCTTTGTAATCCTCAGTGCAGTGTTCCATTTGCTATGATACTGGTTTTTCTGCTACACCATCACCAGGAGGAACATACCCAGCTGGCAGGCCAAGGGAAGACCCAGAGTTCTGCCTGACCACACCTCAGGAACTTTCCACCCCAGCCCGGCCTCCACCACAGACCTCAGATGAGCAAAAGCTTACCCTTTGCAGGTTCCAAGGGCACATCTACCCTTCCTATCAAGTGTGCCTCTAAGGCCCTGGAGGGGGCGCAGGCTGAGCACTGTGACTCACTTGTATCAGCAGATGGCTGAGTTCCTGGAAGACATGCTTAAACTCCCATTGGGGTTAAGCAGTGCTCACAGCTGACACTTACCCCAGCCCTTAGAGGTGGGTGTCCTTACCTTTCCTCAGATGGGGAAACTGAGGTGAGACAGGCCAGGCAGCCTGCTCTGCATGGAGGAGCATGCAGTAGGCCTGGGATTTGGCTCTCCAGAACAGCGTGCCCCTTCTGTCCTGAAGGGCTGGATAGGGGGTCCAAATAGTGTGCTCTGAAAGGCAGTTTGCTCAGGTTCATCCCAGCTCATGTGCTTTTCCCTTCTTCTGCCCTGATGAGCCCCAGCTTTTGTGCTGTTTGGGTTGGGGACCATTTTGGCGGCCTTTGGAGACTCCACTGTAGGTCATTCATAGCAGAATCAAGGAGGGTGCTAGGGGAAAAGCCCCAGTGTCTCTTCCTCGCCTTTCCCTTCCCTTTGACCCTTGGGCAGCGTGCACTGAGCACGTTGGGCTGCAGGTGCCCACTTCAAGGGGCTGAGACCATCAGGGCTGCACTTCATGGGAGGCAGCAATGTCCAGTGCCTGAGCTCAGCTCTCATCCTAGCTGGGGGTGTTGAGTGAGCTGCTCGCCCTCTGGGGGGCAGTGTCTTCTGTAAAAGGGCAGGGGCGCTGCTGACCACACCACACAGAGATGGGTTCTCCCACCTTTGTCCCATCCTGTCCCTCTGGTGCTGGGGATGGAACCCAGGGTTTCAGGAATGCCAAGAAAGTTCTCTAGTGGCAGCCCTTTTTATTTCGAGATAAGGTCTCACTGATTTACCTCATTGCTTTAGAACTTGTGATTCTCTGTCCTGAGCCTCCTGAGTAACTGGACTACTGGCATGTGGGGAGTATTTAGCACACGGCCCTGGCCCCTGCTGGTGAAGACACATGCTGATCACATTTGCTGCTTGGATTGAGATCTGAGAGTGGCCCTGCTTCAGAGGACCTATAACCTTCAAGAAAAGCCTTAGCTACCCCTTCCTGAGGTAGCCACCTGCTCTCCCTCTCCCTACATGCTCCCTGTTCCCAAGTCTGTTCCCCTCCACATTTTCCAAGAGCTCTTGCTCTTCATGTCTCTGCTTGAACTGTGATGCCTCATACAGTTGTGTAGGTTGTCCAATGCATAAGGAGGCCTGGCTGCAATGATAAGTTGGAAGCTGAATTTTAGTCTAGTTCTATTCAGTCACCTCCAAGTCCTGGTCTGAGGCTGTGTCCCTTTCCCTGATTCCCATTAGTGAGGGCTGCAGTCACCTTGTTGAACTGTCCTCCAATCTTCCACCCAGATACTGGCACTCCTTCACATCACCTCCCCTGGTAAGGCCACCTTGCTCTTTCAGGGGTCATTAGCTGCAGCCCTGTGCAGAGCTTCTGCAACCTCTGCATGTCCCTGACCTGGGAGCACTTGGCTCTGCTCCTTCCTGTTCTCTGCTGGACTCTGGGTTCCCAGGTAGTCTCTAGATCACAAACAAGTCAGGCAAGGAGTGCTTTATTCTCACCATAGTAGAGGACAATAAGGGGCTTTGGTAGCAGCAGTAGTGCCCCCTCCCCGTCCCAGCACTCTCTTCCTTGGCCCTGGCTGGACACCAGGCAGCAGTAGCAGCAGCAGGTTACAGGGGACAGGGGTGGGGTGTTAGTCTGCTGGCTGGTGCCCATGCCCGTGGAGGGTGTGCCTAGGGCCCC